TCCTTTTATCTTCAGCATCCTTTGGTAAGTCTTTACGCCCAAGACATATAAGCATAAGGAAGGTGGATCCCGTGATCTTCTTCCTCTTCGATTATGGAAAGAGAATCTTGCCTTCAATCTTCTAGACCTGCCAAGATGTCAATACAAATAATTAGTGCATTTGACTTAAATGAAAACAGGACTTATTTATACCAAAAATAAACTTCCCTTAAATACTCCCCATATTTCTGGACTCTGTGATCATCAGAAGGTTCATCGATTTACTGCCAATAACCAGAACTTACAATCTCCCCCTTTGGCAGATAAATCAAAAACCATTTACTTGAACCTGCATGATGAATTACATATCTTGTACTAGATTTAACAACCACACAAATGATTACATAAGTATTGTTCATAAGAACCACTCGAATACCTGAATAAAGAAAACAGTTCACAAGATATTAATAACAATCGGAGTTCATCACATGCATGGAGAAGAAAAGACAGAAAGAATGGAGTTCAGCAAACATAACAAAAGGTTTTAACATAAATAAATATCCAGCTGAGGGATGGCTATGCAGATTCTTCCTCATCAGATTCCTCCCCTAAACCTTCTTCAGTGCCGTCCTCAGTCTCTTCCTCTGAGCCTGTTTCTTCTTCCTCATTCTCGGCATCAGATCCAACTTCTTCATCCTCTTCTTCATAAGAACCTTCATCTTCTTCCACAACCTTCTCATTTCCCTTTTCCTTGGCCGCAATGACCTTCTCTTTCCCTTTTTGAGTAGCAACAGCAACAGCCACCTTTTTCTTCATTCCTTCAGCATCCAATGTTTTCTTCTCCCCCTTAGCAAGAGCTTTCTTCTTTACAGCAACCACAACAACATCCTTCTTTTTCTCCCCCTTTTTCGATTTAGAGACCAAAGGGGTACGAGACCTCAAGGCACCCAGAACTTCTTTGTAGTACCTTCGCTGATCAGTCAATTTCTTTTCAAGTCCCGCGTAAACTGCCACTTGCTGATTTAAAAAGCCGCGAAGCTGTGAAGGTACATTAGATGCCTTAACAAGAGAAGGACGAGGAGGAGCAATCTTAACACCAGCAAGGGCAAGAGGTTTGTTAACAGGGGCATAGTTATCACTAAGTCGAGGATCCATTTTCACACCAGCCTCGAAGAGAATTGCACATATGGTAGATGGATACAACAACAACTTATAAGGCTTAGAGATTTCAGCAAAGCCCACAACAACATCAAAGATCACAGAACCAACATCAAATGGGATACCATTCAGAACACGGTAGATAACACGAGCTTGCGTAGGGGTGACAAACTACTTGTGAGTGGTAGGCGTCCAGTTCGACGCTCCTATCTTCTGTAGAGCATTGGTAGGCGGAGTTAGACTCTTCACAAAGATTCCTGGAGCAAGCCATTTGGTTAGTTGTCCACCGGTCAAGGTGCGAGCAACTTCATCAAGATCATCAGTCAGAGGTCCAAGAGAGGAACCTTCAGCTAAGCCAAGTATAGAGTTCACCACAGACGGAGAGAAATCAATTACACTATTACAAACAAACACCTTCTGAAACTTTATGGAGGACGGATCAGATACAGAGGTAGTCAGGTTCGAATAAAATTCACCAACAAGCAGGGGACAATACTTCCCAACAGACGTGACGGAATCATCAAGACCCACTTTTTTCAGAAGTTCAAGTAACCCAAGTTGTTCATAATGTTCGCTAACAATCGTTCGTTCAGGACGAAACTTTATTTGAGAAAAGATGGTAGAAAAACGAGTTTCAGCCAAAGGAGAATAAAACTGATTTGGGAGAAAGCATTACCAACAGTAAGAGGACTGTCTGGACCATCACCCTCGACTTCAACAATGATTTTTCATTTCTCAGGAGGAGAAAGTTCCTCGTCCGCAGCATGTTTGTTGTCTGATTTCTCAAGTTCAGCAACATATTTGGCAACCTCCCGTTCAACAGAATCAGCATCAGAATTCGGAGACGACTCTCCCCCAGATTTTGTGAGAGAAGAAGTACCAACAGCAGGTTCAGGCAGAAAAACGACCTTCTTTGCCTTTTTCGTTTTTGGTGCAGCAATTTCGGGGACCTTCTTGCGCTTCTTTGGAGATTTGACGACAGAGGGAGAACCTTTTCCTCCTTTGTCACTGGGTTCGGCAACTTCAGGTTGAGAAACCTTCATCATTGAGGATTTTTAAGGACTTGGAGAAACCCTAGTTGTGGATTTAACAGAATGTTGAATGTCCTCGGTTGCCATGGTTGAGAGATTTGGATTTGGTGGAGTTTCGGAACTTTGGCTTTGACGAGTTGAGCGCCGAGATGGAGGAGGAACATCCTTCTTGGGCTTCACGGTTCTCTGCTTAGATTTCGGCATGATAACAAAAACGATTTCTCATAAGTATGGAATGTTAGAAGATTTTGAAGAAGGAAGATAATTTAGAAGGAAGATAATTCAATGATTTTAGAAGATAGACACAAAAGGTGGCAAGGAGATATAGGGAGCCGAGATTGCGATTATCGAGATATGTGATAAGACGGTTCAGCTCGAAATTTGAATTTCAAATAAATAAAACTGCTCGACACTTAATGCACAAGAAATCGTTCCCTCCAAACAGATTACTTACCAAAAATTAATTAACACAGCTACCATATATAACGAATGAAGTTTCAGACAAAAATATCAACCAAATCATGTACCAAAAATAATTTTAGTCTCAAGATTGAAATAATATATACCATGAGAAAATCTGGATGTACATGCCTAAATAAGATATTTAACACGCAATACCCTAGAATTTTCAGTTCACGCAATATTGAAAAGATCCATTAATTGATTAACCCACAAATCTTTCCAAATCAATTTGAAGCAAGCTCGACACTATCAAGATGGTGAGAAAATAAATTCTCTTTGTGCACAACTCAGCCCTTATTGCTCCAACTTTTATACAACATGGAATTAATATAAGTTCGTTCATCACTTTCTCTTAGCAAAAACGAAATTTTCGTTCGCAATTCAGCCCCAATACTAATGATGAACTTACTCCGTTCTATGAACTTCCACACCAATTCACTTACTAACATCAACTATACGCCAATGTCAAGCCCATTACTTGAGGTGTGAATCATCCCGCAAAAAGTTTTAATTTTGAACAAGCTGAGAAGATATCAGGATGGTCAACCTTATTTCACCAGAAAACGTTCATTTTAGGAATGTTTACCTGTAGCTATCACACTTCGATTATTGTTAAGCACGTAACTCGTTTCATATGTGATCAAGGAAACACCTCATGTGATAGTTTCCCGATGCCTATTTTCACAAGAGCAGCTCTTACAAGTATATTAAAATGGTCATCATGACGAGCTCTTACAAACTGACCAGTTAGAGTTCATAGACCACCAATCAACAAACTCAACAATAATCGATCAGAGAAGAATTCCAGGGATGAACCTACATACTAAAATGCCTAAAATGCAGAAGAGATCCTATATGCAATAGACACGATATACATATATATATATATATGCAACTGATACAATGCACATATATTATATAGCACACATTCCTAAAGATTTTTTCAGGGACAAAAATCATTTCGAATCAAGAGATTTTGTAAAAATATCAGCAAGCTGATCATCTGTGGTACATGATCCAACACAATAATCCCATCTTCTACCAAATTACGAATAGAATGATAACGAATGTCAATATGTTTGGTCAGAGAGTGTTGGACAGGATTTTTCGAAATATTTATAGCACTAGTGTTGTCACAGAAAAGTTGAGCCGAATGAACGTTCATACCATACTCGGATAAAATCTGTTTCATCCATACCAACTGTGAACAGCAGCTTCCAGCGGCAATGTACTCGGCATCAGCAGTAGAAAGGGAGATGTAGTTTTATTTCTTGTAGAACAAAGATACCAAGTTTGATCCTATGTAAAAACACTCACCAGAGGTGCTTTTTCGATCATCAAGATTTCCAGCCCAGTCAGCGTCACAATAACCTGCAAGATGTAAGTTCGTATCAGCAGAGTAGAATAGACCATACTCTGTTCTACCTCCAATGTACTTAATGATATGTTTGACTGCTTTCATATGTGATTCCTTGGGGGCAGCCTGATACCTGGCACACAATCCAACACTAACGTGAATGTCAAGTCTACTAGCAGTGAGGTATAGAAGGCTACCAATCATACTTCTGTATAGAGTTTGATCAACAGATGTACCTTCATCATCTTTGGACACTTTTACATGAGTGCCCGTGGGAGTTTTAGGACTTTTAGCATTTTCAAGACCAAACTTTTTAACAAGATTTTTTGCATAATTACCCTGATGCAAGAAAATACCATCTTTACCTTGCTTTACCTGAAGTCCAAGGAAGTATGAAAGTTCACCTACGAGACTCATCTCGAATTCAGACGACATAAGTTTAACAAAGTGATTGACCAGCTTCTTGGATGTTGATCCAAAGATGATGTCGTCGACGTAGATTTGAACAGCCAATAGGTCATCATTCGTTTGAAGAGCGAAGAATGTCTGATCTATTCCTCTTCTCTTGAATCTCTTTTCCAGAAGGTACATGGTAAGGCGTTCTTACCACGCACGTGGCGCTTGCTTCAATCCGTACAATGCTTTCTTAAGTCTGTAGACATGATTCGGATTCTTGGGATCTTTAAACCCTTCTGGTTGCTTAACGTATGCCTCTTCATGTAATATCCCGTTCAGAAAGGCAGACTTCACGTCCATCTAGTAAACGGACACTAAGGCCTTGATCACAGAGTTGACTCACACTCAAAAGATTTGCCTTTAGTTCATCAACAAGTAACACACCAATTAATTTAGGTAACCCACCCAAATTTAAACAGCCTGTTCCAATAACCTTATTGCTCACACCGTCACCGAACGATACTTCCCCATTTGAACCGGACTGAATGTTCATCAAGTAGGAAGGTTCCCCAGTCATGTGTCTAGTTACCTTTCAAGGAAGTCCTGAGAGACAAAACAGAGGCAAAACCGTTGAAGGATTTCTTAGCAACCCACACTTGATGAGTTTTGGCACGGTTATTTGGGAGGGTTCTGGCATGAACCTTCACCGGAATGCCAGACTGATTCCAACCCCTAACATTACCTGTACAAAGATCATGCTGCATTTTATAACATTTGGGTCGTATGTGACCAGTTACACCACAGTAATGACAAATAGGAACAAAGTTATGGTGAGTTTTACTAACAAATTTCTGCATAGGAGAATGAAACTTCAAAAGAGATTTTGGAGATAGAGGCTTACTTACAGTGCTTTTTACAAACTTGTCGAACACATTTATGGAAGGTTTTCCATGCAGGTTCATACCTCGAATTTCAAGTTTTTCCCCAAATCCAAGGCCAGCATGTTTTGTATTTGAAGTCCCAGTTGAGGATTCTGGATTGTTCTCCTTGCCCGTGTATCCTATTCCAGTAAGATCACCATGTTGTTTCCCCAATGAGAGAAGTTCATTCAGATCTGCTTTTCCCTTGTTCAGTTTTCGAACGACTTCTGCAGTTCGGTTCAACTCAGCAGAATTTACCTTCAGTTTACTTTCCATGCTAGCAAGTTCGTTCATCAGCCGACCAGCTTCAGTTTTCAGCAGCACGATTTCCTGGTTCCGTTCCGCAAGAAGTTTCTGAGTAGAATATGGTCTGAGCCTTTTCCAGTCCGTCTTGTTTAGCAAGTTTGACACTGCTCTCAAGGATGCTGGTTCGAGCCTTTGCAGTATCCAGTTCACAATCTTTAGCAGCATTGGAAGAGGATGCTTGTTCGTTCAATACCCTGTTTGCTCTTGAAAGTCTAAACACTTCATTTTGAAGCTTCTGTAGAGCTTCAGATGCTTGAGCACACTTTTCCATAGCAAGTAAATGTACTGGATCTACACACACATTTTGATCCGCTTCATCTTCAGATGCTTCAGTTTTTTTTAAACTTTCTTCAAACTTGGTCGGAGCATGAGAAGTGGTGAGACACATGAACTTCTTGACTGAGGTATGAATTGCCATGTTTCTAGTGTGCAAAGAAAGTTTGTCTGTGCCTTCTTCATCTGAATCTTCCCATGTTGTCTTCAGAGACTTGTTTTTCTTCTTAAGATTAGCACACTCATACTAGAAGTGTCCAAAGCCTCGACACTCCCTGCATTGATCCTTCTCAACTTGTTGATGAGAGTGGCATACTACTTTTCTTGTCCTGCACCACATTCTTGCGGAAATTGTTGCCCTTTTTTCCAGCAAATTTATTCTTGTACAGCCTTTGACTCATCTTCCCATAGTTTCGCGCGATTAGAGCTAGTGCTTCTTTCAGGTCACTATCGTCTGCTAACGGACCTTCATCATCATCGCTTTCTTCTCTTTCCTCGACTACAACAGCTTTGGGAGCTAAGCCCTTACTTTTGACTTTATCATATATGTTGATTTTAAACGTCCTGAGTTCTCCAAGAAGTTCATCAACATCCAACGACGCCACTCTTTGGAAACTTTCAAGAGTTGTGATTTTCTCTCTAAACCTGGGAACAACGGTTCTCATAATCTTTTGTACTTGACGCTTCTCAGAGATTTCTTCTCCAAACATCATACTTTGATTCACCAGATCACAGAATCTGGCATAGTACACATCAATTGTCTCTTCATCCCTCATTTTGATCTCATCGAATTCAAGAGTTACCCGTTAAAGTCTGGATGCCTTGACAGCCGTTGAACCTTCGAATTGACACTGTAGAAACCTCCAATGACGGTCGTTGAACCTTAGAATTGACACTGTAGAACCCTCCAAGCATCATTCGCAGTCTGATCTACTGCCATGATAATCGCATATAAGGCACGATAGTTGGCTTCTTCTTGAAGCTTCTCAGCATCTGTACAGTTGTCCTTAGGTTTAGGAACCGTGACTTTCGTTGTTTCTTTTCCTTGATCAGGTGCTTGTGGCATGATTGGATGCTTCCAGCCATTTTCAACACTTTCCCAGACACCTTTTCCGAGCGATCTTAGAAAAATTGTCATCATAGACTTTCAATATGAGTAGTTCGAATCGTCCAATTGCAAATGCCTAGACACCGATCCACTTTCTTGATTCATGATTTGATAGTAACACACGTTCTTAGATCTTTCGTAATGAAGATGAAAACCCGCTCTGGTGCCAATTGAAATTTGATACTTGAACACCAAGTATCCAGAGTTGCACGTAAATAGAACAAACAGACAGTAACAAAGATCCAAAGAATTGCGGAAGTTGTTTTCACTAAGAATTGAACCTTCAAGAGAGCGTCCCACTCTCCCTTCAGATCTCTTTCATTAATGTGAACAACTCATACATCATTCAAGGATTTACAGTATAGACTCCCTCTACACTCTACTTGAATAATGATCCACACAACTACTTATCTGACCACAACTCTTGTGGATTTTCTAGTTCGAATCCCTCTAACTAGATCAGAATGAACCTTCGAACATTCTGTTACAAAGAAAAATTGTGTCCTCAATATCTCTTTTTCACTCAAGGAAAGAAAACATAAAACTCAAAAATTTCAGCAGAAAAGAAGTCGTCCTCAACTCTGGTCTCGTCCTCCTTTTATCTTCAGCATCCTTTGGTAAGTCTTTACGCCCAAGACATACGCATAAGGAAGGTGGATCTCGTGATCTTCTTCCTCTTCGATTATGGAAAGAAAATCTTGCCTTCAATCTTCTAGACCTGCCAAGATGTCAATAAAAATAATTAGTGCATTTGACTTAAATGAAAACAAGACTTGTTTATACCAAAAATAAACTTCCCTTAAATACTTCCGCATATTTCTGGACTCTGTGATCATCAGAAGGTTCATCGATTTACTGCCAATAACCAGAACTTACAAATATTATTTAAAATTTTATAAAAGTAATTACATGGTTGAGCAATCGACCCGATGATCTGGAGCCCAACCCAGGTCAATCACTAGTCCAGTTTTAAAAATATGATTCGATCGTCCATATAAAATAGGGACCTTCCTAATTAGAGAAATAAAAGAGTTTTGTCGAACTACTAATATTCGTGCTCGAGCTAAGCCAAGTTTGGATTATTCACTAAACAAGCCGATAAACGAGCCCGCGTCAACTTCATTCATCAAACGAGTTGAACCATATTAGAGCCTTAACAAGTTAAACCGAGTCAAGTTCACGAGCGACTCATATCGGTTTATAACTCTATTTCTAATACACAATGTCCATATAATTTCTAAGAGTAATGCTCCCTACCCACATTTGGCACATTTTAATATCCCCACCGCTTATGTGGCATGCACACATTGGTGATGTATTTTTTTAACATATTAACATCACCAATGTGTGCATGACACATAAGTGGTGGGCATATTAACATGTGTCCACCGTGGGTAGGTGAGCATTATTGTAATTTCTAATATATATGTGTATTATTATTCATTGTGCACTTCACTTTTTTAGATCTTTTGCCCGCAGATTTTTTGTTTTTTCTATTTTTTTATTACTAGAATATAAAGAAATATTCTTTTGTTTTTGCACTACTAGAGCTGGCGGGCCTGTAAAATGACGGCCCAATCCACCCCCGCCACGGGCCGCGGGCTTGGTGGGCCATCCGACTTTTTTTTTTAGCTGGGCTACCGACTTTAAAAAACCTGTCGTAGTTCTATATCTTAAAACCTGCATATGTTTCACATAGCTCACGACTTATACACTATACACTATACACTACATATTAATATATATACATATTTTAAATAAGACGGTCTAATTCGCCCTGCCCTAGCCTGCAGCCCGCTGGCCCGTGTAAGCCCGCTTTCCGGGCTTAGAAAATCTCAGCCCAACCCGCCCATTTTGCAGGGTGGGGCGGCCCAGCCCGCGGGCTGTTTGACAGCTCTACACACAACTGAACCATGTTAGTGATTTATATTTAAAAGTCACGTGAAGATAGATAGGTTCACGTTTATATTTGTTCCAGTTTAACGTTGTTATATAATTATTAACATATTTAAAATTAATTATTTATTATTATTTTTAATTAGTCACAAATACTAATGAGAATCAATGTATCATTGACAAATTAACTAGTTATACTTTCTTAAATAAGAAAATTAACAGAATGTCACTCTTATATAACCAAATTGTTTAGGAGGGACAGTGAGAATATATATGACTATCATAAGAAAATTAGTAATATTATTACATTGCTCATGGATATATAATTACTTAATCATAATTTAGTGGAAATCTGAGCTAAAAGCTACTCGAGAAGAGAGAAAGAAACTGATTGGGTGTGGTTTCTTTTGTCCAATCACGTGCCGCTCTTCCCAAGTCAGAACAGATCTGCATATGTAAGACAATTTTGACCAATAAAAAAGAAAACGACACCTTTGCATGTTTATTTTTTCGAAAAGGAAAACGAAGATTTTGAGTGCTATCAGGGCATCTCCAATGGTAATAGATATTACTAGCTATATGGTTAGCTGACGTGGATGTGAGAGATAAGAAAAATAACTATTTTACATTATTGGACCCACGTACTCCTCTCACATAATCTTGGGCTACGTGAAATAAATAAGCTATTTGTTAGTAGCTAGTGACTACTCTCTCTCTTACTTTTCCCCTGTCCACGTCATAATAGTTAGCCAAATAGCTAACCATTGGAGACGCTCTCACATATATATAATTTTACGGATTATTTTTGTTAGAATATACCTTTTTTTATGTTTTTTATTTAAAATTTTAGAATAAAAACATGTATGATTTATTGATTTATAACAATTGATTAATCAAAAAATCAATCAATGAAGAAGGTAAGCGGCTGCTCATGTTGTGGATAAAGGTGCTCTGCATGGACTGAGGTTATCCCAGGATGGTCCTTCCTTCTCTCACCTGTTCTTTGCACATGATCCATTGCTCTTCTATAGGATAGGGGTTGATCAAACTCACACTCTTCTTAATTTATTGGAGCAGTACATATTTTTTTCTGGACAGAGGGTCAACTTAAAGAAGTTCACCATCTTCTTCAGCAAAAAACACTCCCTTGAGCTTGCAAAGCAGTATTACAGGAGCACTAAATGGTATTAAACCTCACCAGTCAACTAGGTATTTAGGCATGCCCCTGGGTATTGGCAAGTCCAAAAAGGAGGCATTTGAGTTTGTGTTGAATGCAGTCAGAGCTAAACTTACCAGCTGGAAAAATAAGCTTTTCGCACCAGCTGGGAAAGAAGTCTTGATCAAGGCCATCTAAAGTGCACTCCCAATTTTTATTATGGCATGTTTTAAGATCCATGTTTCAATTGGTAAGGAGATTTCTATGCATCTTTTTGGTGGAGTAAAGGGGAGAACCAGGAGAAGAGAACACACTGGAAGTCTTAGAAGCTCATGTCCATCCCTAAGAATGAAGGTGGTCTAGGCTTTCAAGACATAAAGCTGTTTAATGAAGCATTGATTAGAAAACAACTTCGAAAAATTACATCACAGCCTAACCTCTTGGTCAGCAAAATTCTAAAAAGTAGGTACTTTCCTAATACTTCTATCTTTGAGGTTGTTAAATCTGAGAGTAGTTCATGGTTGTGGAACTGCTGGCTGTCATTCTTCCCTTATTTGCTCAGGGAT